CCCATCCACACTAACTGACCTTGAAGACTTGAGAGCCATCTCCTCTTCCTTCTCCTGCGTGCTGTCCGGCTTGATGCGGTACACAGACTTCAGGAAGTTGAACATGTCAAACGGCTTTCTGTTCTGGAAGGCCTCGCAGCGCGCCGATCCGCTGGGGTTCAGCGGCACCTCCTGGGTTACAAAGGAAGGACAAAAAACAACCACGTATTGGTTACCGTTAGTTTCTTTAGCGTTAGTCAGTTTCACGACACTTGTTTTTTGTTGTTTTAGTAAGAGTTTTACGGCACTTGTTTTTTGTTTTGGTAAGAATTTTACAGTACTCGTTTTTTGCAGTGCTGATAATGAGAAAAAGTCAAAAAAGAGGAAAATATTCCACCCCCGTTGCAATCCCGAAATTTCAACACATACCTTTAAGTAGTACTGTTTTGGAAACAACAACAAAAGCGGAAATCCGCAGATCCGCGAAAAATTATCAGCACAGTTTTTTTGTTTGTTTTAGTAAGAGTTTTACGGGGAGATAAGGATGATGAATGTTTGATAGGAAAGAAGGAGCAAAACCACACCGGAGCACCCGCCAACCACCCACACAACATGTATTCCCTCACCTGGTTTTTCTGTGTCTCGTGTTTATATTAAGGTATCTGTTGTCCATCCTGTTTGATAATAATAAGAATAATAATGTCGATAATTTCTGTAGCGCCCACTCCCGTGTGAACACAGCTCTAGGTGCTTTCCATAAATGCATGTGCGAACAATATTCACGCACGCACACACACCCTTGATATCCACCATCCACACCTTTCCACTCACCTCATCAGCTTGGTCCAGGTCGTACTTGTGGAAGCGGAACTTGTAGTGCCTGTGGCAGTGAACGGCGCCATAGAGCTCTCTCTCTCTCACACACACACTCTCTCCCTCTTTCTCTCTCCCCCAACCTCACTCTCTCTCTCACCTCATCAGCCTGTTCCAGGTCGTACTTGTGGAAGCGGAACATGTAGTGCCTGTGGCAGTGAACGGCGCCATAGAGCTGCACCCCCCCCACATACACACACACACACACACACACACACACACCCCCCATCTCTCTCTCTCACACACACACTCTCTCTCACCTCATCAGCCTGGTCCAGGTCGTACTTGTGGAAGCGGAACTTGTAGTGCCTATGGCAGTGAACGGCGCCATAAAGCTGCTCAATCAGGTACACCACGGCGTGGTGATCCACGGCAAACATGCTGCGGCCCGAGATGCCGGCGTACGAGAGCTGCTTCATCCTCGAGGCCGCTCGCACGTCCTGGACCTTCTCCAGTACCTGGTTCCACGCGTCTGAGGAGGGTGGAGGGGTGGAGGGAGAGGAGGTGAGGAGGGAGAGGAGGTGAGGAGAGAGGAGGGAGAGGGAGGTGAGGAGAGAGGAGGGAGAGGAGGTGAGGAGAGAGGAGGGAGAGGAGGTGAGGAGAGAGGAGGGAGAGGAGGTGAGGAGAGAGGAAGGAGAGGAGGTGAGGAGAGAGGAGGGAGAGGTAGGAGGAGAAAGGGAGGAAGAGAACGGTAAACATTGTTTCTACAGTCATCCCAGGGTGAGAAAGGTTTTGATGATGATGATATGGTGATGATAAGGATGATGATGGTGGTGATAATGCTGCTGATGATGAAGATAATGTAATAATGATGAAGATGATGGTGATGATGATGATGACTTTATGATAATGAACGATGAAGATGGTTGTGATGATAATGATGGTGATAATGATGATGATCATGACGAAGACAACGCAATGACAATGCTGATAACGATAAAGATGAAGCCAAGCCGTCGTCTCCTCACCTTCCATGGTGTCCCCGTGACAAGAAAAGCCATCGTCGCTGCTGATCTCAAAGCGCAGTCGGCTCGTGCTCCGGTCCCTCGCGGTCCCACCACCGCTACCACCACCACCGCGGCCCGGCCCGTCGCTGCCGTGGAGGTGGTCTCCCTTGCCGCTGTGGTCCAGCGGCGTGTCCACCACTTCTTCTTCCAGCGAGGGCTGCGGCAGACTGGACATGGACTTCTTGTGGTGGATCAGGGGGTGGTGAGTCACGCGTGTGCCTGCAGCACAGCATAGAAAGAGGAGAAAAAACTTAAATTAAAAATTGGCTTTTTGTTTCAGTTAGAGTTTTATGTCATATGCATCACAAATAAGTCATTCAAGAGCCACAGATTAGAGGTGTTACAAGAGAGTAACAGACACACACAAAAAAAGAGGAGAGTTAAGTTTTTAGTTTAAGTCATGTAAGTACCAAAGTCATGTAAGTACCAAAGTCATGTAAGTACTAAAGTCATGTAAGTACCGAAGATTAAAATTGTTTGTTTTAGTACAGGTTTTACAGCGCTCGCAACTGCATACGGTCATATGAGCGCCAAGGGGTGGATGTCAACAGAGAAGTCTTTATAGGGAAAAAAAAGGAGACATCAGGACGATAGATGTTTGATAAGAAAGAAGGAGCACACCACACCAGAGCACCCGCCAACCACCCTGTAACACCTTGTTGACCTAGACAGAAGCAACCAACAGTACAGAGAATCCATCGACCACCTTCTTAAAATGTGAAAGGTAGCAAATTGACCTAGACAACAGAAGTAACTAACATCACACAGCATCCATCAACCACCTTCTTAAAATGTGAAAGGTAACAAATTGACCTAGAGAGCAGAAGCGACCAACAGTATAGAAAATCCATCGACAGCACTCTTAACCTGTGAAAGGTAGCAAATTGACCCAGAGAGCAGAATCAAACAACAGTACAGAGAATCCATCGACCACTCTCTTAACCTGTACAATATTGACCTAGATAGAAGCAACCAACAATAGGCCTATAGAAGCAACCAACAGTAGGCCTATAGAAGCAACCAACAGTAGGCCTATAGAAGCAACCAACAGTAGGCCTATAGAAGCAACCAACAGTAGGCCTATAGAAGCAACCAACAGTAGGCCTATAGAAGCAACCAACAGTAGGCCTATAGAAGCAACCAACAGTAGGCCTACAGAGAATCCATCGGCCACTCTCTCAACCAGTGAAAGGTAACAAAATTAACATAGAAAAGTTCCACCTCACCTGTTTTCAGCCTCCGAGACACGCCCCTCCCTCGCCGACCGCGAGCGTCGCCCGACAGTTTCACCGCAACCTCGCCGACCTCCTTCCTCGTCAGCGACTTCTTCCCCATCTGCTTCCTGCCACGCCCCCTCCCTCGTCCCGAGCTGGAGGAAGAGGAAGAGGGGGGATGGACGGCTAGCCGGCTCCTCACCCCCGAACCCGACACCGAGGGGAAGCTGGCTCGCTGGTGGTGGGCTGACGTCTGTGAGCTCTGGTGGGATTCCGCTGCGTCTGCTGCGGGGGTCTCGCCTGACACACCACCCCCTCCCCCAGCGCTCGCAGCCGGGAACTGAGCCCGGGGCAAGGTCGCCGTGCGGAGGGGAGCACCAGGGGATCCTCCCGAGAACCCGTCCAGCCGCGAATTTGAAACCGACGCCTCCCCGTCCAACCGCGGAACCGAGGAAGCTGGCGTGATCATCGTGCCCACGGGGATAAAAGACGGCTCATCTTGATCAGTCACCATCTCCACGGACCGGGCTCGGATCTGCTCCGCCAGCATCTCTTTGACCAGAAGTGAGTGGGACCGGGCGGCCCCCGGCACACTCGAGGAACTGGGGGCGGCAGCCGCTGTCGTTGTCATTATTGTAGACCCAGACGCAGACACCGGAGACTTGCGCGATGAGGAGGAGGAGGAGAGAGACAGGAGTGGTGGTGGTGGGGCGTGGGCGGTAGAAGGAGGAGTAGGCAGAGTGGGTGAGGGGGTGGTGGTGGTGGCGCCCCCTAGCAGCGGAGTGGGCGTGGCCGAGGGGTTGTTCTGCGACTGCAAAAGCCGCGCCACCACCTGAGGGATCGTGCCGTGGAACGTGCTCTCGCATTTGACCAGTTTGGCTGCCGCCATCGTCCCCGCAGCGTCGTGCTGCACAGACTGAGACTCGGCTCGTCGGACGTACGGCGGGAACACGTGGACTTTGGGCTTGAGGGCCCTACGCAGCTGGGGCTTGATGCTCCGCTGGTGGCGCGGGAGTGGTCTCCCCTGGGTCACCGGGACCGTGATGAATCCCTGGTTGTCGTGGGACCACGGCGTGGACGGAGATGAAGACGACATCGTGGTGACGCCTTGACGGTGGTCACTTCTAAAGTCTGCTTGAACAACACCGCCGCTGGAGCTGCTGCTGGGTAAGATCCTCGTCCAGGAAGTCTGAGCGCTACCCACCGTCGGTCCACTACCACCGGAGACAGACGATGACGCCACGGGTGGGTTGAAAGAGTCACTCACAACTGTTGGCAACACCGAGAACTGACCTGACGACATGAGCGGGGCATGAGGCGACTGCTGTTGGGGGAGGGGGGAACTCTTCGCTGCTGCTGCTGCAGACGCCGCTGCTCCTTTCCCGGGGAGAATGTCTTCGTTTATGAACACTCGCAGAACCTTCTTGGGTCCCTGCGGACCCGTGGTGATCGTAGACTTGACCTCCACCCCTGGGATGATCATAGACGAGTCTCGGTTCTTCAGTGCCGACTGAACCAGGTCCACGATTTTCTGGGAGGCGTCCGAATTGTAGCCCTGTGATCTGATCACGGAATGCAGGTCGGGTCGACTCAAGTCAAAACTGCCCATGTAGTTGACTTTGACCGGGGAGCCTTCGGGTTCCGTTGCGCCCGGGGCAGGTGTGGGGGCGGCGGACACTGTCTGGGCAGGTATTTGCGCTAGAGCCGAGCTCGCAGTTCCTCCCATAGCACCACAGGCGGGTACCGAAACAGCGGGGGATGATGAATGGCTGGATGGTAGACTCCAGGGTACAGTTGTTGTGGTGGTGGTGATGGTGGCCGCTGCTACGTTTGTGGTGGAAGTGGTGGATGCTTGACCACCGGCGTTTTGGGCTCCCAAGACTTGAGTCAGGGTGGTCCTCACTAAGGGCTGCTCCATGTGGGGATGGGGGTGGGGGTGGGGGTGGGGGTGGGGGTTGCTGGAGGCTGGGGTCAGTCGAAACAGGGGCCGAGAACCTTGAGCCATGACTTGAGTGAAGGGCTCCGGACTGAGCAAGGGCGTGTGAGGAGGGGGGAGGGATTGTTGCTGCTGCTGTTGAGGTGGTGGGGCCTGTAACAACCTCACGGGGTCTGTAGGGGGCGGGGCAAAGCTCTGGTTCTGGAACTGGGGCAGGTAGACAGTGGCGGCCGCAGCAGACGGGGTCATGAAAGGTTGCCCCAACACCAGCGGCTGGCTGACGGGGAGGGTATGAGGCTGCAGCAGCGAGGACAGGCCCATAGCTCCGGGGAGACCCGCCTGGAGACTCGTAGACAGAGGCTGGAGGTTGAGAGGGGCCGGCAGGATGCCGTGGTGGGGGGTGGCCGTGTTGAGGGAGAAAAACGAGAGACCCGACTGACCGGCGGCGCCTTGCAGGATCGAGGGCTGACCTCCGAGGAGGGACGGCGCAGCGTTCGGGGGGATGACCAGACCCGATTGGCCCGACTGCTGGAGGACCACGCCCGCCGATTGGTGGTTGGGCGGTTGGAGCATCAGATTGGTGGGCTGGCTCGCCGGCTGCATGGCGAGTCGCGACTGGCCGGGGCTGTGGAACATGATCCCTGTGGGTGTCTGGCCGGTGGGCAGGCACACGCCCGATTGGTTTTGCAGGAACAGGCCAGGCTGGGTCACGTCAGCGGTTTGTACACCATCGTGTTGTTGTTGTTGATGCTGCTGCTGCTGTTGTTGTTGCGGGGACGACTGCTGCACGATGTAGCCCCCGGTGGCTATCTTGGAAATGATGAACTGCGACTGGGGGCTGCTTGTGGGAGGCTGAGGCAGACACAAGCCAGTCAGCGTAGTTGTCGTATGGGAGGAAGGGTTCGGACCCACCGAGGTCTGACCCCCAAGCGGAGACGACTTGGTCAAGATCTGGGGAGGAGGGGGGAGCTGCGGCGTCCGGGGACTGATCTGCCGTTGCCGCGGCGAAACAGACTGGGAGTTCACGGGGATGACCGCGCCCCGAGCCGGCCGGCTGGGAGTATGATGGGAAGGCTGGACGGTGGTGAAGCTGCTTGATATAGGCAGCCTAGACCATTTGGAACGCATCGCTTGTACGGACGGCAAGCCGACAGCTTTCACGATAACCACGTCATCATCGTCATCCTCATCATTATCAGCCTCCTTGTGACCGGCGGTTGGCTCAGCAACCCCCCGGGCAGGTACCGCCGTCATCGCTCTCTGCTCACTCCGCTGAGAGAAATCGCCGTCCTCACCGACTCTTGAAAACGATAAATTCTCCGCAACATTCGACGGACCGCTGCTCTTGTCGCACTGGGTTGAGACGGACACCGGCCCGCTACCTCCCACCCTCCGCTCCAGGCCACCACCACCACCACTCTTCTCTCTCAGCTGAGAGGTGGTGCTGCAGCTGTTCTCGCCGACCGCCGAGAGGAAGTCCTCCGCATCGTTCGAGGTCTCCGAGCTGAAGTCGTCGCTCTGGATATCGTAGGCCGCGGAGAACGACTCAGGGCTGACAGAGCCTGAAGCGAGCGGTGAGCTCCCTTTGCTCCCGGCAACTTCCGCTGTCTCCGCCGCAGCGTCGGCTAGACTCTCCAACCCACCGCCGCTTTCACGATGGTCTTTGAGGCTAGCGGCCCCGCTACTCTCGGCACAAATGTTCGGTTCTGTGACACCACCACCACCACTTTGTCCTCCGAGCGACGAGCCCCCGCTCTGTAAGGAACTCTCCGTCTTCGTCATCTCTGCGGCGGTGTGCAAGGATACGCTCGACATATTCGGCTGAACGTTCATCGCCGTTTTCTTCAGCAGCTCTCCAATTTTCTGCGCGGCCTGGACGTTTGGGGACCTGATGACTATCCTTAGTTTATGTCCGGCAGATTTGACAGCGTTGGTCAGAGATTTGGGCACACCGCTTTCCGCTAGACCCGGATCATCTGTTTTCACAGAGTCCGGTGTGCTCAACGGCAGGTTCGAGTCCAACATGTCTTCCACACCACCAGTCCGTACGTCGCCGTTTTCCATTCCTTCCGATTCTTTACCAGCAGTATCGCTCCATTCCATATGAGTAACACCATCCTCGTTCCCCTCATCTCTTGGTTGTTTCAGCATTTCGACCTCGTCCTTCACCTCCCCAGACCCGGAACCTTCCTCACTCTCTATTTCTCCCCCACACACATTAGGTTTTTGCTTCCCGGTGGGAAAAGAATCAGACCTCTTGTTCGTCGGAACGGCACAACCTTTTCCTCTTCCAGGGGAAACCGCGGCCTCTCTCTTCTGACTGCGTGTCCTCCTCCGGCCTGCTGCCGCCTCATTTCCGCTCTCTCTTCCGTCTTCCTCGTCAACTCCTTCCCTTTTCACGTCGGCGTTCGCCCCGGAACTCTTCCTGCCTCTGCCGCCGCGCGCACACCCTCCCTGCTCCACAGCACCGGGAGACTTCTGCTCGTGGTCGTAGTGGTGGTGGTGGGGGTCACTCGCGGTCATCACTCGGACAGTCTCCGGGGACTCAGACCCACCACTCATTCTCTGCAGTTCGTCCTTGCTGGGCTTCGAGCCAGGAGAGGACGGTGAATCCGTCTCATCCCTCCCAGAGCCGCCTCTCACACTTTTCTGCGTCATTTTCTCGCAGTCCGACCTCCGACGTCGGCCCCTGCCACGTTTTTTCCCCGCTGGTGGTGTTTCCGGCAACTTTGGCCGCTCCTTTTCGGGGTAAATCCGCGGCCGCCCCCGACCGCGCTTTTCAGGACTCGCTGAAGGCTTCGAGTCCGAATCGATGGCACCGTCCTTGCATAGCTTATTTACATCATCTTTGTTTTTGAGCACCGCTAGGTATTCGTTAAGTTTCGACGTCCGGTTCGAAGGCCGGCGACTACGCCTCAGCGAGGTCGCCCCACTCAGCTGATCGTCGTCATCCTCGTCGCCGGAAGCACTGTCACTATCTTCTCTCAGTGATAGCGGGACCGCGGCCTGGCTTTTGGGTACCACCGCGTCCACTTCGTCTTTATTGTCTTCTGCTGCATCTTTATTTGTTGTCGCAGATGAAGGGGACCTGTCCTTCCCAGAACCCGCAGCAGACGCAACGTTTGACCTAGTTACCGTCTCGCTCACGTCCACCACTCTGTCGTCCTTCATCACGTCACCATCGCCGCCAGAAACGTCTGCAATGCTGTTGGCGACGACGGTCGTCGCATCATCCTTCTCTTCCCCAACGCTCCCTGCAGACGAGGTTCTCGCCACTCTCTTGTGCTCGGGAACCCCCTCGGTGGACAGGAGCCTCTGCCTGCTTCGTCGCGTCCTGCGCGCCACGCCCCCCTCGTCTCCGCTCTCCGCCCGCTCCTCTTCCGCTTCCTCCTCCCGTTCCTCCCCCTCGCTCTCGCTCTGCTCCACCCACCACACCCTCTTCTGTCGCTGCCTCTTCGGCTTGACGCTCTCCAGCTCCACTTCCTGCAGCGCCCTCGGAGACACAATGGCCACCGTTTTCACCTTGGCGCCCGACGACGACAACGACCCTGACCCTTCTTTTGGCAAACCGCCTGCAAGGATACTCGGCCTTCCAGAGCCGCACGACGCGGCAAGGGCCGGGCTGCGTTTCTCTCTTCTGGGCATCACCGCCATGGACGAGGGGGAGATCCGAGGCTGGAGCTTCATGGTTCGAGTCCGCGAGGCCACTGAGTCCTCGACCTCCGAGTGCGGAGAGAGCTCGAGCGACCGCCGGCTGACCAGACCCACGGCCTCCAACATGGTTTCCTTCGGCGAGGTCTTCTCCTCTAAATGACCGCCCGCTGTCGACCCGCGGGGAGATAGCAGCGACGAGCAGGTGGACGCGTCGTCGGGGGACAGCGTGGATTTAGAGTCGCGGTGCCGGATCTTGCCCAGGTGCGCCGGCGCTACGTTGCGCTGGGTCATGGTGCTGCGGCGCAGCGAGCGCTTCGAGTCCTGGCTCTGCACGCTGCCCGAGTCGGATAAATCCCTGCTGGACGGCGAAAGCTTCTCCTCTTTGAACTCGTCCGTGATGATAATGCTCAGCGGCTCGTTCAGGGGAGACGACGTAGCGGACGATTTATCCGACCGGATCTGCTGCGTCGTCAGATCGACGATCCGCGACTGCTGTCGCTGCTGCTGCTCCTCCTGTAGGGCTCGGTATCTCCGTGATGACCGCAGCTCTTTCACCGTGGGCTTCTCGTCCTCGTCGCTCGTGCTCACCTCGAAGTCGCAGTCGCGCACGTGGCACTCATAGCTCTCGCGCGTTCGGTACAGGCGCTTGCACGTCGGGCACTTCAGCGGGCCTTCCTCCCCAGGGCTACTCCGGGCCAGACTCTCCGCCTTGATCTTCTCGACGATCTTATCGTGCAACTTCTCACTCTTCGCCTCTCCCTCCTCCTCCGTTCTCAATACGTCAGAAAAGTTCATCTGTTCGGCATTCTCCTCCTCCCCCTCTTCTTTTCTTCCCTCTCCTCCTCCTCCCGCGCACTTCAGCTGATCGGTGGACCCATCACTGACCACAGGACCAAATGCTTGACCGCTGGTCACTCTGCCCCCCGCGCAGCCAGACTCCACACCAACAATTACACAATCGGCAGAATCCGCATCCTGCTCCACAACACCCACACTTTCAGAACCGGATACACAATCTGTTTTATTCTCACAAACTTCTTCGCGGGGACCACTTTTCAAACGTTCACTAGTGGAAGAAGATACGAGACTTTGGTCGGGCAAGCTGGACTCAGTTTCAGTGAGTTCTTCCAACGGGAACTTGTCGTCGGCTTCCGCAGAACACACAGCGCCGTCTGTCATACAAGCCGACGGCCCTGCGGAATCGCACGAGCCCTCCTGTCCTACACTTTTCTTCTCTTTCTTCACGTCCGTCTGAGCGCCAAATGAACCGCGAGCGTCTCTGGCGGAGGACGCACCCGCCGACTTCCTGCGTCTCAACGGGTACTCTTTCTTCTCGGGCCCACACTCCGGCTCAGACTTTGATAGTCTTTTTTCCCTGTCCGTTTTCTCCGCGTCCGAGCTCGACTCGCGACCCAGTTTCTCCCCGTAGCGACGACTACTCCAACTCATCGCCGAGGCGCGTCGACTACTCGCGTCATCACCTGTCTCCTCCTCCTCTTCCCTCCCACGGCCCACGGTATCCTCCCGCATCATCCCACCATCAGCCAGTTCTTCTCCATCATTCCCACCAGCCTCGAGTCGACTCTCCATCTCCTCACTCTCTCCCCTCCGCTCCCCATCCTTATCCCCTTCAGCACTCTCCCCGGCCAAAGTACAAGATTTCTGTCGAGACCGTAAACTACGACGCTTGCTCCCTCCATCTGCGACAAGACAATCACTGTCCACGTCCGACTCTACACACAAACTCGCTGCGACATCTCGTTCTGCAGCACGGCCACATCTCTCAACATTCCCGCAGCCCTCACTTTCCGATTCCAAACCGCCGGATTTGACGAGCGGCGGCCCGCTTTCTGGACACGAACCGAGAAGAACACCACCATCGCTTTGCTTTGATACGACGATATCTCCGGTATCCGTTGGCAACGTTGTCTCTCTAGTAGCCGTACTCTCATCAGCAGCAGGCGACTCAGACGAGGTGGAGACTACTGCACAGTCCTGCTGAACGATGAAAGTCGCAGGACACGGTTCGTCCGTTTGTCTCGATAACGACTCCCCGCCACCTTCCACGAGGTCACACTGACCCACCGTCGTCGTTGTTGTTCCAACTCCTGCTGCCCGTTCTGCGATACCAACCGGTATTTCAGCAGTGTCCGCCTTCTTTTCCAATTCGGTCGTCTCACCTTCCTCATTTGGCAGATCATTCTCCTCCTCTTCTTCCTCCTTCACGCCAGCCGACTCACAATCCATCTCTTCCGCCGTCGTCTCACAAAGTTGGGTTACCTTCCCCTCCCCACAAGACTGCGACGTGCTGTCAGGGTGGGGCAACATGACCTTTGACCCAGTCCCATCGACGTTCTGAGAACACCCAACGGCGGCAGCTTGTTCAACACCCGACGGAACGCCCACCAAATCTCCGCCACCCTCCCCCTCCTCCGATCCTTCAACCAACGTCGTATTTGTCTCGGCGGTACAAGAAAGCAGCAGCGTGGCTTGGTCACAAGATGAGTCATTACCCGCGTTTCCACTTCTCACTCCTTCACTCAACCTCACCGCTCTATTCCCCACAGTTCCAGCAGACACTGCAGAGTGCAACGCTCCCGACGTACCTTCTTCTCGACCTTTCACCTGACCCGCGACCTTGGCAGCATCGCTACCATCACGGCCAAGAGACTCGAGACGCATGGGTCGAGGCCCTGGGTCAAGGCCACCAGCGTCTTCGTCATTGGTCTCGCTGTAACTGAAGTCGTCCAACATCAGGTAGTCGCTGTCCTCATCCGTCGTCTCCTGAGTGTTCAAGTACACCTTCACGCTACTCCTCGTTTTGCCGCCAGAACCGGAGGACACAGGAAGGACATCCGAACACTCCGTGCGTGTCGCCTTAGCGACGGAACCGCCCGCAGGCAAGACCGCCGCAGACGAAAAGAGGGCATCGCCGTCAGAGGCGATACAGGAAGAGGAACTACTGTTTCCATCTTCACCACCAGCGACAGACGCGGGGGGCTGAAGAGTCACATGACCTGAATCTTTCGAAGCAGAAGAAGTTGTCGAGACGACGGGTGTTCCCTGCGACTGAGCGAAAGGCGGCAGCTGTCCATTCATTTCCTGGCAACGTATCTCCTTGATTTGATTTCCTCTCACACTAATGATTTCCACTTCGTCAAAACCACTGCTCTCTAGCCTGTTGGTACCTGCAGCAGGGCTAAGAACTTCGTCGTCACTAGACGGTCCTCGTCTTTCCTCCAAATTACCCTCGCAGCTCCCGACAGTTTTATCGCTAATCTCTGCCGAGGAGAGGCCATCTTTTGCCGCCGTCTTGACCCCGGTGCCGAACAGATGACTGTTTCCCTCGTCTCTATTCTCTTCGCACGGCGTAGCGCTGGTCGCACCGACATCTCCCGCATTCAAACAAGACGTGTTGTGGCCAGAGTTTGAAACCGAGGCCTTCGACGAAGACGCCAGTACTTCTTCTTGCTCAACATCCTCTGAACCGTCTCGACTTTTGCAGTGTGGCAGCTTACGATGAGCAGCAACGATGACAGGGGAAGTTTTCCCGTCAACCTCGTCTAGGTTTCTCGTTGCTAGTTCTGCCGACTCCTCAGCTGAGCGGTCGTCGTCCAACGATAAAATTCTGGGAGGAGGAGTTTCCCCCTCCTCCTCTTCTATGCCGTCCATCTCCTCACTCCCACCGGCACGTTGGCCGCGCTTCCCCTTGTTGGGCCGCACGTCGAAAGAGCACTGCGAGTCACCTTTGAACTTCTCCCCTCCTCTGGACGGCAGCCTCCCATCCTCGTCATCGTCTTCCTCATCCTCCTCGTGAGAAGTTCCTCCCCCACCACCGCTGCCACTTCCGGGGGGCGGCAAACCCCTCCACGACCTTGAAGGCTGACCTCTGCCCTCCGCACCACCCCGCCCTTTGACCTCACCTGACGACCCTCCTCCTGCCGTCTCGCTCGCCAGGGCTTCGAGGTTCCCACTGGTCTCCGTGGCTGGCTCGGTGGCTTGTTCGCTGTTGTTGTTGCTGCTGTTGCTGTTATTGCCACTGCTGCTGCTACCATTGTCCTGATCATTGGCAGTGCCCGATTCGCCAGTGCCCTCCGTCTCCGATACGTCTTTACACCTGTCCTCGTTGTCCTCCCCACTTTTGGGCGACTCGGCCTCCTGACCACTCCCGCCCCCGTTCTCCTGGTCGCTCGTGGCCTCTTCCAGCGCAGCCGACGCCAGTTTGAGAACCTCGTCCTCCGACAGCTCCGTCGAGTCCGTCACCACCACGACCTTCACGTCCTTGTCCTGAAGGAGGTCGGAGGGCACGCTCTCCAGAATGGAATGGATGCTTTCCGAAGACAGTTCCTTTCCGGATTTCCCACCCGTACCGTCGCTATAATCCTCGTCGAGGGAGATTGACAGAACTTGGCTGCCACCGACAAGATTTCTCTCCCCTCTGTCCGTCGTAGAGGGGCTTGGCTTATTCGGTGCCACGTCGACGTTATCGCCATTATCACAGCAGACCAGGGTGGATTTTTTACACGCTCCTCCCACAATCTTCTCCTCCTCTTCATCCTCACTCTCTATAACTTCGATAACAGGGGCCGCCGCCACTCTCATGACCCTCTGCTCCCCTGCTGTTGTTGCTGCGGCCGCCTGACCTTCACTCACTGGTGTCCGCGACCTTGACCCGAACACTGAAATGGAATTCTTGGACAGCAGGCTAAACCCCGCCCCCATGGTCACCGGAGGCGGGGAGAGAGAAGCCGAGCGAAAGTCGTGGGGGTCGCCACTGCTGGGTCGCAGCTGTGTGAACGGGGACACAGAACGAGCTCGGAATGACGACGGATGGCAGCGGTGGCCGCCGCCATGGGTGTGGGAGAGGACAGGAGAGGAGGACATCACCCTCAGAGGACCCGGGGGTGAGAAGGGGCTCCTGCTGCCTCGCTCCTCCTCGCTGCTCGACCTCTGACGGCGCCCGCCCGCTGCCGACTGGAACCCGACGGGGGAGGAGGAGAGCGACTTGCTCCGCACCATCATCATCTCCATCCTCACCCGTTCGTACTGGTCCTGGCTGGATGACAGCAGCATCTGTCGGGCTGGCGGCAGTTTGAGGGCGTCCTTCCGACTCACCACAGCGGCCTGAGGCTTGCCCGAAGCCGCTTTGTTGAGCCGCTCCACAATCCGGACCAGACCCAAATCCTGTTGGTCGTCGGCGTCGCCACCTTTTTCTGAGCTGATGCGGGCCGTTTTCACAGGCGGGATGTAGTGGGCCGGGTCTTTGATGTTGAGCAGAGCCAGCGTGCGGGCAGACAGGCCCGTCAGATCCACCGCGGGCCGCGGTTCCTCGGGCCTGCAGGTCTTCCCAGGCGAGAGCAGCGGCCAGGACTTGGACAGGCTGTCGGGACCTGCAAAACGTCCGTCGAGCCGTAACCGCTTTTCGCCGTCAGAGGAAGAGATGAGCTGCGGACGCTGTAGCTGCTGGTGTTGCTGATGTAGCTGTCGCTGTTGTTGCTGCTGTAGTGAAGATGCAGCAGCAGCGCTAGTACCGGGCTCACATCCCACATACACAACGTCCTCCGAGTCGTCCTTTGCGTTCAACAAACCACCACCACCACTGCGGCCGGCGGCGGCGTAGTAGTCCCACTTGGCAAAGTTCGGAACGCCGAGGGAGTCGAGACGCAGGTCTTTGAGGGGAACAAAGTCCGGGTGCCCCTCGTCGTGCACCACACGCAGGTCCTGGATTTTCAGCTCCGTTTCCTGCGAGTCCGGTTTGACCTCGACAACGCGACACGTGTACACGCAACGGCGCCGCGCGTCCTGGGTGCTCCAGTAGATGCGAGTGCAGCTGAAACGAGAGAACGACGACAAAAGTCACAGAAATAAAAAAGCTGGGTTTTTTAAAAAGTTTTAGTAAGAATTTTACGGCACTTGCAACACAATAAGGTCATATAAGTGCCAAAGATTCGAGGTGTTACAAGAGAGTAACAAACACAAAAAGGAAGCAGGAAAGATAAGGACGATAGATGTTTGATAGGAAAGAAGAAGCAAACCACACCAGAGCAACTGCCAACCACCCACATAAGACTCGGCGACAAAACATTTCCCCAGAAGATTCCTACATAAATCTCAATGAACACAAAAAAGCATTTTCTTCACAAATCTCAAAGAAGACACGAAAAAAAAACCCCAACCCCCATCGCCAAAACAATTCCCTCCACAAAGCTGAGTGGCAGAAGACATTCGTTCGTGTCGGAGAGGTGACGAACACAAAACCCGACAAAATCATTCCCTACAAAAAGTTCAGTCAACAAAAAAAACATTTCCCCGCACGATTCTCAACAAAAATCTCAACGAACACTGGAGAAAAAAAACTAAAACAACCTCTACTAAAACTAAAACATTCCTTACACAAAGTTGAGTGGCAGAAGACAGTCGTCGGTGTCGGAGAGGTGCGACCGGAGCTCCCCCAGAGCCTCCACGGTGCACGCCCCGATGACCACGCTGAGCCGGGCGGGGTCCACCGCCTTCCCCCAGGTCGACCGCGTCAGGATCCGGTCCAGGTCAACGCACACCCGCCGCGCAATGTCGAAGTTGCCGTCAGATATCACCTGTGTGGATAATGATGATGATGATAATAATCTATAAAACTATCACCTTTGATAATTATGATTTGATAACAATAATAATAATAATATTCTGAATTTCCTTTACTAAGTAAACCGTTTTCCTGCATGAACTAGAATTCGGAGTACAGGACTACTTTGAAGTAAGATAGTAAGACGGAATCAGACTTACTCTGCTCACCTATCTTCAACAGCACAAAGTCTGCTCACATAAGTGAGGCTCTACACTGGATCAAGAATACAAGCCATCAGCGAGCAGTAACCATTACTGACTCTATGAGCACGCTACACAAGGTACAGAAAGGGATGTTGTATGTGGACTGGAAGGCTACGATCAGGGAGAGCAGCCTGGAAAGAGAGGCCTGGATCTTCTGCCTGGGCCACTCGGGGGTGACCGGCAACGAGAGAGCAGACAAACTGGCTGGAGAAGCAAAAGTGGGAGGGAATTTGACACTGGACCCACCAACCGTCCTAACCGCTGTAAGGGAAAATTTGAGGAAGAACAGGGCGGACAGCGGTTCCCGCACTCTAGGTAGATTGAAGAAGGGGATCCAAAGAGGAGAATGGAAACACAGCCACCTGTGCGGACCAGTCCGACGGATCTCCAACCAGATTATGATGGAGACTATAAGCAGACAGACTCTGGGATGGATCCTGAAGGGGGGGGGGGGGGGAGGAGGAAACGGAGATGAACATGTTCCGACTGCAGTGACCCCAACGCAGTGGACAAGTCGCAAGTCAAGTCAAAGTCTGTTTCGACTGTCAAGGCACCGTGGAAAAAGACGATAGTAAGAATTAGGAAAGAAAAAGCAGCAGTTCCCTGTTGCAGTTCAGGCACAGTCATGAGCATGACATTGATGAATCAGCCCATTTACAATTCTACTGTGCATAAGAACATATTAATGTCCCCCCTTTGGAAATGGCCTAAAGACACTTCAGTCAGTGGTACTGCCCCCCAATGAAGGAGAAAAGAAAAGAAAGTCATACTTAACCACCCAGCATCGGTAACACGTCATACTTACGTCGGTCTCCACGCAGTCCCTGTGCAGCTTGCAGAAGACCGACTTGTCCTCCTGGAACAGGCAGTGGTCGCGGCGGGCACACATGAAGTGGTAGTTGGCGGGACAGTTGGCCTCGCAGCAGCCCACCGTGGCTCCCGTCTGCCCGCACAGGTTGCAGCGCTGGGGACATGGAAAAACATCTTGTCAGTATGTTAGTGTTTTAGCGCCCATAAATGGCCGCTTGCTCTGTATGCTTCCCAGGAAGTTGAGGTTGTTTCAGAATGCTCTCAGGTCTGCTGGGGTAATAGTATAGATTGTGAAGCGCATAGAGCTTGCTGGTGAGCGGAGATTTGCGCTATACAAATGATATCTATTATTATTAAAATGCATAGAGCTTGCTGTTGAGCGGGGAATTGAGCTATACAAATGCGAACTTTAATTAGTAAAAGGGAGGTAACACAATAATTCAATCGTGCACACCCCCAAAAAGTACTAAAGACAACAGCAAAAATGTACTAAATTGTACATGTTCAAATCATCATACATCATTACCAAGGGAGGGAAAACATATTTTTAAACAGAAAGAAAAAAAGAAAAAGAAGTTGTTTTAGTTTTAGTGGGTGTTTTACAGCACTTTCAACATAAAAAAGTCATATAAGTGCCGAAGAACAGAAGTGTTACTAGAGAGTAACATACACAAAAAAGAAGGAGGAGATATAAGAACGATAAATGTTTGATAGGAAAGAAGGAGCAAACCACAACAGACCACCCGTCAACCACCCACGGTAACACAATAATTAAACCGTGCAGCCCCCAAAAATGTGCTACAGATGGAGAAAAAAAAAAGTACTAATTGTATAGGTTCAAATCATCATACATCAGTACCAAGAGAGGGAAAACATATTTTTACAAAACAAAAAAGAAGTTACATTAATAATGATATATAACAACAATAAAAACTGTAATAATAGGAGAAAGAATGATAAGAATAATAGATCAGAATGAAGGAGGAGGAGGAGGAGGAGGAGGAAGAAGAAGATAAAGAGGAAGAAGAAGAAAAAGAAGAAAAGGAAGAAGAACAAAACCACTCACCAACTTCCTACTGCGGCTGACAGTCTCTAGAACGTTCTGCAAGGATCCGTCGGAAGCCTCAAACACCTCGGCAGACCACAAGGCACAGGAGACGTGGATCCAGTCGTCCTGGCCGCAGTACAACAGCCGGCCCGCGTGCTGAGGGAGGAAAAACCCATTTCCATTGTCAGTTTTAGTAAGGTATTTTCAGTTTTCGTAAGAGATTTATGGCACTTGCAATACAATCCGGTCATTCATATTGTTAGTGTCGAAGGTTAGAGATGTTACAAGAGAGTAACAAACACAAAAAAGAAGGAGGAGAGATCAGGACAGTGGAAGTTTGATAGGAAAGAAGAAGCAGCAAACCACACCAGAGCTACCAAGTGCCACGTGCCAGAAAGTCAGATAAATAATAACACTAATAACAAAATATATAACATTTATATTGCACATTTCCAACGAAAGTAGCTCAATGCACTTTACATTGGAATACCCATTTTCAAAACCTTTCTCACTACTTCTTTTCTTACCATGCAAATTAATGTACACACACACACACATACAGAGATCAGAACACTTACATCAGGCAGGTTGCGTGCACACCCACACACACCCACACACACCCACACCAGAACACACACACACACACACACACCCACCCACACCAGAACACACACCCACACACACCCACCCACACCAGAACACACACACACACACACACACAGATCAGAACACTTACATCAGGCGGGTCGCGTGCACACACACACACACACACGCACACCCACCCACACACACACACATCAGAACACACCCACACACACACACAGATCAGAACACTCACACACACAGATCAGAATACACACACACACACAGAGATCAGACACACACACACACACTCACATCTGGCAGGTCGTCTCCTTGCTGTGAGCACAGAACGCATGTCCTCGTGTCCTCCAGATGGCTCGTCTCTGACGCCGGCCACGACAAGGGCCGGGACAAGGGGCCACAGTCTGTGGTGGGATGTGTGGGGGTCGGAGAGGGTGTGTGTGTGTGTGTGCGCGCGCGTGTGGGTGGTGTGGGGAGGGGAGGGGAGGGTATGGGGAGCAGAGAAAATATAAGTTGTAGTAAGGTTTACAGGGATGTAACCGAGCGGGCACTGACTGAAATAAGAATACAGTGAGACTAAATTATATTTGTTTCTTTCCCTCTATTACAACAAATAATCTCTATTTAGTATATATAATGTGTATTGTTTACAGTAGACTTTTGGTAACAGCTGAGGCCCAAATGGCAAGTCGGCCGGAAAAAACAGAAAAAGCCGGAAGATTTAGATCTCAGGATTTAGTTTGGTTTTAGTAAGAGTTTCAGATCTACAGACCACAGTGAAAAGACGAGAATTAAAAAGGTATGGGCATGTCACAAGATCCACAGTACTTGTCAAAACAAGCCTGAAACAATCCTGCAAGGGATCGTACAAGGAAAGAGAAAGAGAGGAAGGCAGAGAAGGAGATGGGAGGACAACATCACAGAGTGGACAGGGAAGACGATGGGTGACAATCTGAGGAAAGCAGAGGACAGAGAGAAATGGCGAGAGCCGGTTTTCAGATGCAGTGGTGCCCCCACGTTTGCCCCAACAATGGGAAAGAAGAGAAAAAGAATGAAGAGTTTTACGGCACTTGCAACACAATAAGAAAAAGGTCATCAAAGTGCCGAAGATTAGAGGTGTTACAAGAGAGTAACAAACACAAAAAGAAGGAGGGGAGATTGAGACTATAGATTTATACAGGAAAGAAGGAGCAAACCACACCAGAGCACCCGCCAACCAACCACTTTGTAAGGTTTTACGGTGCTCGCAACTGCATATTATGGTCATATGAGCGCCAAGGTGTAAATGTCAACAGAGAACTCCAAACGGGGAATCAGGCTTACTCTTAGTTTTAGTTTTAATAAGATTTTTGCGGCACTGGCGACTAGTTCCGATTATGTAAAAATCGACTGTCACAAGAGACCTCAGTCACACAGTGTTTTCCATTTATTACAACTGAAATTATTTAAAAAACAAAGAAAAGCCCACAAACTCTCCCATGCATACAAATCCAACCAGTAACATCAGATTGAGTAACATCTCGCTCTCATCCTGTCTCACTGGATGCATTGTCTGTCAACAGAAAATAGGACTATCAAGTTGCAACACGGAAAAGCGGTAATGATTAACACACTTCCAGTTTGTTCATCCACAAGAAAACACAGTTCCAGACACACTCTTTGACCCCAAACGACAAGTTCCGATTATCCCAACACCAACTGACGACAAGTTCTGATTATGTCAACACCGAATGACGACAAGTTCTGATTATGTCAACACTGAAGGACTACAAGTTCTGATTATGTCAACACCAACACCAACTGACGACAAGTTCTGATTATGTCAACACTAACGACCAATTCTGATTATCCCAACACTGACTGACGCGACGTGAACAATGACGACCAGTTCTGATTATGCCAACACTGACTAACGACCAATTCTGATTAAGTGAACACTGACTGATGACCAGTTCTGATTAAGTGAACACTGACTGATGACCAATTCTGATTAGGCCAACACTGACTGTTTTGTTTTTAGTAGAGGTTTTACAGTGCTCAAAACTGCATAAGGTCATATGAGTGCCAAGGGGTGGATGTCAACAGAGAAGTCCTTACAGGGAATCAGACTTACTCTGCTCATCTCTCTAGCTTCAACAGCACAAAGCCTGCTTCGACTATCAAGGCACCCCGGAAAGAGCGGGTCACAAGAGTGTGACAAACACACAAAAGAAGTAGAGAAAAAAATGACGATAGTAAGGATTGGTAAAGAAAAAGCAGCAGTTCCGTGTTGCAGTTCAGGCACAGTTATGAGCATGACATTGATGAATCAGCCCATTTACAATTACAATTCTACTGAGCATAAGAACTCAAGATGTTAATGCCCCCCCCCCCCCCCCCCCCCCCCCGGAATGGCCTAAAGACATTTCCGTCAGTAGCACCGCCCCGGGGGGGTACTGATGACCAGTTCTGATTATTCCAACACCAACTGGTGACAAGTCGCAACGAGACCACTGACCGTCGCTGCTGCTGTGCCTGTGTTGTCTGTCCAAGGTCTTGAAGGGCGAGGGCTGCGGCGACATCGGGGAATCTCTCCGCTCCAGCCACTGGGCGTACGTGTGGTCCTCCGAGGGGGGCAGAACCGCCTCCTTCAGCATGCCCCTGGAAGAATAATAAAGATGGGAATGACAATAATAATGATGATGATAATAATAATAATGATGATGATGATAAAAATGATGGTAATAATAATGATGATGATGACAATAATAATTTTGATAATAATGGTGATAATAATAACAACAACAATAATAATAATAACAATGCTAATAACAATAATAATAATGCTAATAATAATACAATAATGATAATTATAATAATTATACTAATAATGATAATGATAATAATTATACTAATAATGATAATGATAATAATAAAACTAATTAAATAAAACTGAAAAAAATTTACTCGTTAACCCGATCCGTACGCTTTGCATAGTCAGTCTACCACAATGGAGATGACATTGGTGAAGCAAGAGCAAGAACTTACTCTTTGCTTTTGCTTTTGTAAACGGGACACACCTTATATTTTCAGTGGGTAGGAAATTTTGAATTTTGCCCGGGTGGCGGCCGAAGCCAACTCTTATTAGACCTGCATGTGAGCCTCAACCAGATTGTCTGAAAATTTTGTGCAACTCCCCCCTCCCCCCTCCCAAAAAAAAAAAAAGCAGTTGTGGGTGTCATAAGGAAGGACATCCGAGTAACCAGCGACCACCCCAACAAACACAATAAAGAAGAGACCTAACCCTAACCCTACCCCCAAAAAGAACCTGCAACGGGCCTCATGTAAAAAGGCCAAAACAAGTCCTAAATGAAAAGAAAAAAAATTAAAATACCACACTCCAAAACAAACAAGGAGCATAGATCTAGATCTATGGCTTACATCTGCATTGCTATAGGGTTTGATCTAGATCTAGATCTTGTAAAACAAGTGAATAGGAAAGGCCTTGAACTAGAAATCCGCATCCGATTCCGAACAGAGGGACTCAGCTGAGTCTAGATTCTAGATCTAAATAAATAAATAATTCACGCACCTAATGAAATGCTTATTTTTACCAATATTAATATTACAGCACAACCTATGATAGGGTTTGACACAATAGAATTGGAATATGAATCCCCCATTGAGGTCTATAATGATCTATATAAATCTAGATGTAGATCTAGATTCTATTAGAACAAGAGAGTCGGACTTGAATGAATCCACACGATCTGAACAATTGAATTAGTCAACAAACGAAACTCAAAATGGCCGCTCGAGCACGAAACTGAAAGTAGATAATTTAGGTTGTCGTCCTTTTCCGTATTCGCATTTCTACTTAGGTTCCGACAATTATGTCGGAAACGCCGATGTCGGCAGTCGGCGGTGCGCGCGTCGGCGGTCGGCACGAAAACGAAAGTGCCGACGAAGCCGACGCGGAAAAAAGGGGTCGCTGGCAGTCGGCCAGGCCTCGCACTACGCACATTGACTGATACAGGTGGGCCTAGCGATAGTATCGGCCGGTTCGCGGGTCGGGTCGCGATTGTCGGATTTCAGACGATTGTCGGCAAACATGCAGGTCTATCTTATCGATTTTAAACTACCAAGGGATCTTTAACGTGCGCAACTTGCACACGGGCCCTCCGAGATTTTTCGCCCTTGTCCGAGAAGGCTAGGTGTAGATTTTTCCTACCAGAAGATCAGGGGTGTGGCAGAAAGACAGCAGTAAGGAGGAGCCAAGGAGTAGCAGTAGAAAGGCTGCAGAAAGAGTCAGGAGCCCAGAGGAGGGGGCAAAGGAGGTGAGGGGGTGGGGGCAGAAAGTGGAAATGAAAGCAGACGACAGAACATTGCTAGAGAGCAGGAAAGAAGGTGAAAGGAGACAATTTTAGAGAAGAAATTTTTTGGTCGCTACCTGGATTCGAACCCGGGACCTTTTGAATGAGAGGCCAACACCTTAACCTCTAGGCCACGAGAGCCCCCGAACTTACTCTGGCATTCCCCTGTTGTGTTCCCACAGCTTGCACGTGTTCACGTTGAACCAGGGGAAGTAGCGCTCCATTTGCTGCCGGAGAGAAAGACACGATGACGTAACTATGGTTTAGTTTTAGTTAAAAATTTACGGCACTTGCAACACAACAAGGTCATATGTTTTACTAGAGAGATTGGAAAAGTCATTTTTACTATCAGGTACTGTTCTAATGTGGTTTAAATCATATCTAGACAATAGATTTATGTCAGTGAAAATTGGCAATGATGTGTCAGATAGGTTACCTCTAAAATATGGAGTTCCTCAGGGTTCGGTCCTTGGTCCTTTCATCTTTACAATGTACACGCAAAGTCTGTCATCAATAATTTCTTTATATGCCCTCAATTACCATCTTTATGCAGACGATACACAGCTGTATGGATTCACTACGACTGACAATGTACACAATCTCATAGATAGAATCGCCAGATGTATCAATGATATAAGAAAATGGATGTTCAAGAACAAATTAAAATTAAATGAGGATAAGACCGAAATATTATTTCTTCGTAGCAGCGCATGCAATGAAATCGACAACATCAGAATAAACATCAATGGCCACGAAATATCAGCCCAAACTAAAATAAGAAATTTAGGTGTGGTGCTAGATCAAGATATGTCAATGAAATACCATGTATCCAATCTTTGTAAAAATCTATATCTCCAGCTGAAGAAAATAGGGAGCATTAGAAAATATCTATCTGTTGGTGTCACCAAAACTTTAATAACATCACTTATATTGTCAAGGATTGATTATTGCAATTCCTTACTGGCTGGTGTACCTGATGAACAGTTACAACAACTACAAAGAGTACAAAATATTGCTGCCAAAATAATTACTAAAAAAACTAAAGCATGATCATGTGACTCCTATTTTAAAAGCATTACACTGGCTCCCAGTGAAAGAGCGTATCATATATAAAATCTGTTTAACTTGCTACAAGTGCTTAAATGATTTATCACCGGACTATCTAAAACAGCTTTTAACACCCTATGTGCCTCCTAGAACGCTCAGATCATCTACTGACAAAACAACCCTTGTTAAGCCTAAAATAAATTTCAAATCATATGGCCAACGCTCTATTTCATATTTTGCCCCACTTGTTTGGAATAGGCTTCCAAAAACTATCAGAGAAGCAGAAAATCTAGAAATTTTTAAGAAGAAACTAAAATCATTTCTATTTTCATCATATTTCGATTAGACAGAATGCATCCACGCTGTAGATCGTTGTGAGTTTGTATGTGCGTATGTGCATATGTATGTGAGTATGTATATGTGTGTGGTGCGTGCGTGAGTGAATATGTGTTTGCAAGAGTATGTAACACTATGTATCTTTAAAATTGATTTGTAAATCCATTATATGTATCATGTTAAGCGCATAGAGCATTGCATAAGTGGATATGCGCTATATAAATGCAATCCATTATTATTTTATTTATGTGTTAGGAGATGGCAAAAAGGTGGCAGACGACGACACTCCTTAACGGCACTTGCAACACAACAAGGTCATATGTGTTTGGAGATAGCAAAAAGGTGGCAGACGACGACACTCCTTATAAAAGGGTTGACAAGCACTGAATTAGTGAGAGGTCAAAAAAATATTTTTGTGATCTGGACATGCCAGTAAAGCACGCACAAACAAACACACATACATACTCACAAACAGACAGACAGATACACACATACACTTCTAGTACAACCACCATCCCCTTTAAGTAAGTACATGATTAATACTGGCTCACGTTCTCACCTTGATGAAAATAGACCGCACAGAATTGGCCTGCTTTTTGCGTGTCACAAAACGCTCATTTTAATTTTTTTTTTTTTTTGCACTGTCCTTTCGTGTATAGTTACTGTATGGTTGTGAAAGTTCTGTATGTGGTTGAACTGGTTTTTCTTGTTTCTGTGAAATATTTTTCCTGTGTGAATGATTATGGGGTTGGTGAAAAGGGCTCAGAGCTTATACAAGAATGGGATAAAGCGCTATATAAAAGCAATCTATTATTACTAATACTGGCTAATGTTCTCTCACCTTGATGAAAATAGACCGCACAGAATTAGCCTGCTTCTTGCGTGTCACAAAATGCTCATTCTCACACAGCGTGGCTTGGATGATCCGAACCATGTCCTCGCTGAACTCCTCCTGTTATAGACAATTATTTCAGTTGTTTTATGGCACTTACAACACAAAAAGGTCATATAACTGCCGAAGATTTAGAGGTGTTACAAGAGAGTAACAAACACAAAAAAGAAGGAGGGGAGAAAAAGACGATAGATGTTTGACAGGAAAGAACGAGCAAACCACACCAGAGAACCCGCCAACCACCCACAAAGTTCTCTCTGTGTGAATGGAAATTAACAAATTGTAATAATTAGGAATTTTGTTCTTGAGATTATTGTGAAGCCCACTGAGCAATTTCTCAGTGAAAATGTGATTATATAAATGAAATTTATTATCATCATTATTATCATAATCTCATCTTGTATTTCAAACACTTAGTTTCTCAGCACACTACTATCTGTGAGGCATCGTGGTGAAATCAGGCACTCGTCAAAATAATGAAAGTCAAGAAATTGGCATTTTTCCGCAGGTTTGGGAATTTTTATCAAACTTTTGGGGGTTTTTTTGGCTCTACGCCTTTCATGCCCATTAAAGAAAATATTTCTGGATTTACTGGAAAAACGTTGTTTAAAGGCAAAAATATAAATTCTCAGTTTCCATGGACTCTCAAGCTAAGGAAATAACTCAACTTTGGCGGCCATTTTCTCGCTAATTTTACCTATATGAAACCAGACCTTCTTCAAATATTTCGCAAATATTTTGATTTCAATTCAACCTAGATAGATATTTTTCTCACTAAAAGGAAGGCAAATAAACAGGCCTTTTAAAACGATACCAATAACTTGATATGTCCCAAAAATTTATGAGCGCTGGTTCCACTGCGTCGTGACACATATGATATATGTGAAATCTGCCGACAGAATGAGTTGCTTCTCAGATTCCAGCCCTTTGGAAATATATACATCACGCTTATTGGTGAAGTTTTTACAATTTATTAGTATGAAATAAAAAAAGACATGTTATAGAGCAAGTTAAAGAATATGGCATCAACAGAAAATCTACAAATTTGACCCTAGAGTCGATTTTTGGTAAAATATCTCCATTTGTGGATTGCAAGAAGTAACTCATTTTGTCAGCACGTCTCACATACGGTCGCTTTTAGGGACAAGGGGGCTAACCCAGATTTCGCGGGTTTCCAGAAATCTCGACCTACAACAAAAGTGGGCATTGCCCTGCCTATAGGAGAAGTTTGGTTTCATTGGAGAAAACTCTCCTAGTCTTTCACAGAAACTGAACAAGGGTCCAAAAACTTTACCTTCAATTTTCTCAAAACAGCATTTTTCGGGATAGCCCACTATTGTCCTTAAAAGCGACCATATATAATATTATATATACTAACCACAGTGCTGTAAGAGCCACTGTGCAACTTCTGCTTGATGACCAGGAAATTCTGAGGGTGCTGAGAGCTGTCCACGCTGGCTGCCTCTTGTTGAACTGGTGAGAAAAAGTATGTTCGTTTGGTGTTTTTAAAAAAAAAGGGTTTTACAGCACTTGCAAAACAATTAATAAGCTTAAAGCTGGCTGCTTCATGTTGAGCTGGTGAGAAAAAGTATGTTCGTTTGGTGTCTTTTTAAAGTGTTTTACGGCACTTGCAACGCAATTAATAAGGTCATATTTATAAGTGCCTAAGATTAAAGGTGTTACAAGAGAGTAACAAATATTAAAAAAAGAAGGATGGGAGATAAAGACGATATAAACGTCTGATAGGAAAGAAGAAGCAGACCACACCAGAGCACCCACCAACCACCCACAAGAAAAAGTATGTTTGTTTGGTTACAAGAGAGTAACAAATAATATAAAAAAGAAGGAGTAGAGATCAGGATGATAGATGTTTGATAGGAAAGAAGGAGCAAACCACACCAGAGCACCCGCCAACCATCCACTGAGAAAAAGTATACAAGCAGCTGTCAATTCACGGCTGTCAGAACAATGTCTATGAGATGTCTTAAATGATTCCCTCCATTCGGCCGCTGACAGCTGCTCTGAGTTTTTCCGCTGCCTCCATTCGACCGCTGTGAGCGGCTCAACGAAATCCGAAACAAATGTGCACTTTTTAACATAGTTCCCACTTTTTAAGTTGTCGAAAGGAAGTTAGAACTTGTAAACAAACCTGACTTCAATCTCTGAGCGCCAATATCGATCGAAACTCCGCGAAATTCTTGCAAAAATCGCTGTTTTGTTGTCGTTCTAAAGGCTAGATCTAAGAGTAAACAACACGGAGCCTGGTATAAGAAAAAAGCCCTTCAAAAAAAGATATTCAACTAAATTTGTGAAATTCTGGCATAAATGTGTGCTAGGGTGATATCGCTACAATATTGTGTTGATTCCTATGGATTATAAGGACTTGTAGAGCTGAGAAAACGCGGCAAGTCAAAATTTTTGAAGAGCTGTGGCGCAATTTTTTTTTCTCATTCGTTTTTGTCTGAAGGAAAATGCAATACAAACAGATTATAGGTCATTGTTATTGATATAAACAGATTCCTCTATTGATTCCCATCAGTTTGGTATATATATGACAATACCTATTAGAGTTACTTAGAGCTTCACAGAAATACATTAAATAGATGCACCCCAGGTCTAAAACTGAACAGGGAAAAATAATTCTGTCCAGAGCCTGAAAAAATCATGGACGGAATCAGTTAACTAATTACTAAAAGTTTTACACCCCCCACTGACACAATTTAGGCAATCTAAGAGGCTGGCTGCTTTCACCCCGCCTGTCAGGACCAACTATGGTCTTTTTTTAGTAGAGGTTTTACTGCGCTCGCAACTACGGTCTGAAAAGAATACAACTTCCAAACAGAAAGACAGAAAATATTAAACAATTTGATAACAACACTGACTTCGTCACACAGGAACTGAGCCCACACCTCTTACTTAGTGCAATTTATCAAAGTCGCTTCTCTGCTAGTTTGAAAATTCAAGAACTGTACACTTCCAGCAACACATTGCAACTGCTACATGCATATACATTTCCCTTTCAGTATTGCTCTATTCTGTCTTCACTACACTTATACTTATTCTTAGCCAGTAAAATGTCGAAATCAAACACTAGCCGTTACAAATACTGTTGTTGCTGCCTTACCATCCATCACCTACCCTTTACAGAAAGCAGTGCTAATCCTCACGGAATTTTCCACACCATTGCCCACATTTAGTACAGTAACAGAACAAACCAGTCGAAACAACAAGCACAGTCGACTACAAAACAACATATATATGTGTATCTCCGGTACCACAGAAAGCAGTGCTAATCCTCACGCAATTTTCCACACCATTGCCCACATTTAGTACAGTAACAGAACAAACCAGTCGAAACAACAAGCACAGTCGACTACAAAACAACATATATGTGTTTATCTCCGGTACCACAGAAAGCAGTGCTAATCCTCACGGAATTTTCCACACCATAGCCCACATTTAGTACAGTAACAGAACAAACCAGTCGAAACAACAAGCACAGTCGACTACAAAACAACATATATATGTGAAGCGTGCTGACAAAATGAGTTACTTACAGGTGAAGTTTTTACAATTTATAAGTATGAAATAATAAGAAATAGGTTATAATATCTAAAGAATATGGCATTAACAGATGAATCTACAAATTTGACCCTAATGTCGAGTTTTGGCCAATATCTCCATTTGTGGATTGCGAGAAGTAACTCACTTTGTCAGCACACCTCACATATATATATATATATATATATATATATATCCACTCACCATCAACACCCACTCCCTCGTCATCGCCGCCGCCGCTGGTATCCATGGCAACGATAACCCCATCCTCACAAGCCCCTCTGTCACTCTCAGCCGCCGTGCCCTGGTTTCCACAGCCCACAGCAGGCTCCCCATCGTCGTCCCTTGATCGTACCGACGACACTGCCACCCCCAAAACGATGGGACTACCGCCTCGATTCGACGACACTACCGCCCCCGTAACGATGGGGCTATCACCGTGACTCGACGACGGTCGTATCTCCGGTACCACCTCCTCGCCCCCAGAGATCCCGGAATTTTCCTTCGTGGACGGCGAGGAATTCAGCTCTCTGCTGAGACTTTGGTGCCGCTGAGAGAGTTCGGCCAAGAGAGCGCTGCAGTTCAGAGGTCCCGGGGAGGAGGCGGCATTGGGGTTTTTGCTGAGCCCGTTTCTCCGCGGAAACTCTGGCGGCGGCAATTTCTTAGCGCCGGCTGAGCAGAAGACTCCAGCACCAAGGTCAGGGTCGAGACTTTTTCCGCCGTTTGCACTCCCCAGTTCACAGCTCGTCTCCGCGACATTCTCAAGTCCACTTTCTCCATCTTTCTCCTCCTCTCCACCTTCCTCCTTCTCAATTACGTCGTCTTTCTCACTCCCCGCCCCACTGCACGCTGCCAGCGTCTGAGCGCCATCGGCGAGACCCCTGCTGTCCACACGAGGAGTTGGATTTTGTTCACAACTGTCCGCCTGAGTGGGCCCACACATAGTTTGACCGCCGGGTCCACAAGTAGCTTGACCACTCGGCCCACATACCATTTGACCACTGGGGGGTCCACACACAGCTTGACCACTGGACCCACACACAAGCTCAGACACTGCTTGACCACTGGGTCCAGAGTCTTCGTCCTCGTCATTGCCCCCCATAGCAGGAACAACACGTATCACAGATGATGATGATGAACTGGTTGTATTATCCACAGAAAAAGAGTTTGATTCTTCACTCGCTTCAGGAACAACCGCCGCGCTTTGCGAAGAAGGAGGAGAGGAACGTTCGACAACCTCCTCCTGACCCGAACCGGAGTCCCGATCGGAATCCATGTCCTGATCCGAATCCGTGTCCCGATCCAACTCAACAATCCGTACGCCGGCACGTGGCCCGTCCACTTCCCTCGGCCTCAGCTCGCCGCTATGACGGCCCACGACTGAAGAAGAAGAAGAAGAATTGTGGGATAATTCCGGATGCGTGCAGTCGCATTTTTCCACAATCTGACCGCCAGCACCATCCATCGTAGCGGGCTCGTCGAAACTTCCACCGGGGTCGTCAAAACTTCCACCGGGGTCGTCAACAGTCACCTCCCTTGGTCCAATTCTTTCGTCGGGCACCCGAGAGTGCTCCCCGTGAGCTGTGATTTCTTTTCCCTCGGAAGGGGCTGACAATTTCCCTCTCTTTTTCTGCTCCCTCTGTAATAAAATAAACATTAGATTGACATTAGTTTAGTTTTAGTAAGAGTTTTATGGCGCTTGCAACACAATCATGTCATATAAGTGACGCAGATTAGAAATGTTACAAGAGAGTAACAAATACAAAAATGAAGGAGAGATCAGGACGACAGACATTTGGTAGCATGGAAGGAGCAAACCACACCACAGCACCTGCCAACCATCCA